TCCTGTAAGAAAAAAAAAACCAAAGCAATAACTGCACAAGATTAAAACAAAATAAAACTAGATGATAATAATGTAAAAAGTTACAACATACACCAAATCTCATGTTCCTATTTGTTAATGTAATTTTCAATTTGATACTTTACCATATATTTTACTGAGCACAATTGATCTAATTTTGTCCACATACACATATTTTAGTTCCATCTATCAGTGTGTAATACTTGATTTCAGGGGACCTTTTTAGCTGATATAAAAAAAAAAGACAAGCAATAGTTATTGTGTGTAATGTTTTTGTCTGTACTGTTTTGCCTTTATTTTAATATTAAACTGTTCTTGACATTGTAGCAGTCATTTCAGTTTGCTTGCCATTTGTCTGATTTGATTTGTGGATGCTCAAACTGCTTACTGTGTTCATATCAATTCTTACACTATTATATGTGGATTTGTTTTAACTTTTTATACCCATGAAATATACATTTTGATCAAAATTAGAAGTTCCATTTATAACATTTATGCATAATTTCTAAACAAATTTTCTCCTTATCTTATAAAAAGATTAAAAAAAAAATCAAAGCACAACTTTTACCCTCTAGCAGAGGCGTGCTGCGGGTGGCTTTGGGAGCCGAAGCACTGGATGAAGGGTTCTTTTGCATTGGATGTCTACAGATTATAGAGGGGGCAGGTGTAAATCAGTGGTGGGGGGTTAATTACTTTTAATTTTACATTAAGTAGCTGCTCCCCAAGGCAGCTGCCAATTATAAAAAGAAAGATCAGTAGTGTAGTGCTTGTGGTACGTAGGGGAGTAGTGCCCCCGAGATGACTGTGTGACTTGGGGAAGAGAATATTCCCTCTATTAATCAGGTAGTGTAGCAGGATTGTTAGAATAATACCTGGATGTGTAGCATATGCTTGTTTCCGGCTCTGACAGCATCAGCATGGTGCTCAATCGACAGAGAAGAGGAGACATAAAATAGAATGTCAGAGTTGTGTCATTAATCAAGCATGCAACTCCACCTTTTTGTTAGTGTAGGGGTCATCGCATTTTCCTATGGGCCCAAGCCCCAGGTGTTTCTGTAACTTGGGAACACCCCTGTCCTCTAGGCTGATTTCCCTTGATTTATAGGCCAACATGCTGTTTGGAACAATATCTCCTGCTTGCATGAAAAATCTAATGTGGTGAGACTTCAAAGTGCATTTCAAATTTAAGTCCAGAATAGTTGAACTGAATGCATAGCTAACTTGGAGAACTTTTCCAGATCAGCTATTTTTCCCTTAGATTTGAAATTCCTTTTGAATTCTCACTTTAGTGAATAACCCTTTATATCTTGTTGATTAATACTTATGATGTGTTTTAACAATTTACCACAACAAGAAAACAAATATCAAACATGCACATTATGACATTTCATATGTATTTTTTTGTTTTATATTCATTTGTATGTCACAGGGTATAGATGTTAATACAAACTTATGGCAATTTATGATTTATAGGCCAAAACTATTTGTTTTGGCCGGTTCGGCCAAATCAAACACCTTTTAATTCACACCCAAACTAATTGATTTGCCTGGTATTTACCTGTTGAGTGTTGTTCATTGAATACGATTCCACAGGTAAAATCTCTGATGAATTGATTTGTTCAGGTGTGATTTAAAAGGCTTTTTATTCGGATGAACCGGCAGACACAAATGTTAGCACCAGTTTAGTAAATTGAACTCGGATGGAGAGAACATGTAGACCTAATATTTGTTCATCATCTATGCTTCTGCATGGAATATACTGCAATATACAGCAATTGTTCTCCCAAATAATCACTTGAGGAAAATCACTAATCTGGCCCTCAGGCCCATCACCCTTAGCCTGCATGGTATGGAGGGTGAAACATGGGTGACAGGAGAGGAGTAGTAAATATAAGTGAGTGTATACCCTATCCTTTACTTCCTTTGAAGTTCACACTGTACGCCTTTTTAAGCCCACTCCTTTAAGAATTGCCATCATCTATCGTCCCCCCGGTCACCCTAAACTATTCATTGAACACTTTTCCTCCTGGTTACCCCACTTTCTTTCCTCTAGCACTCCCTCTCTCATACTTTGGGACTTCAATATCCCTATCAACAAGCTCAATTGCCCTGATGCCTCTCGTCTGCTCTCTGTAACCTCCTCCTTTGGACTCTGGAGATTTCTTCCTCAGCAACTCACACTGCAGGAAACACTCTTGACCTCATCTTCACCAATCTCTGTACTACCTCTGATCTCGCCACTGCTCCATTTCCTTTGTCTGACCACCATCTGCTAACATTTAACATCTGCATACCCCATACCAAAATCTCACCACCATCCACTCTCCAACCTCGCAGAAACCTCAACTCTCTCGATCTCCAGCACTTCTCCACTAAACTCCAAACACTCCTTTTACCCATCTCAAATCACAACTGCCCTAACTCTGCAACCTCACTCTACAACTCCACTCTCTCCTCTCAACTTGACATCATGGCACCTCCTACAGTTAAACGCAGCAAGCGCCCCCAACTACAACCCTGGCACACCAAGCTGACCCGTTACCTCCAAAAATGTTCCAGAACTGCTGAACGCTGCTGGAGAAAGTCTCACTTTGCATCTGACTTTGTCCACTATAAATTTATGCTGCGCTCCTACAGCATGGCTCTTTCCTCTGCAAAAGTAAGCTACTTCAACACCCTCATAAGCACACTGTCCCACCAACCCAAACACCTGTTTCACACTTTTGATGCACTTCTTCGCCCTGTGACTCCCCCTCCTTCCACCACCTTGTCCGCCACAAACTTTGCATCTCATTTCACTGAGAAGATCTCTACAATCAGGAAAGAGATCTCTAATCTTTCTCCAACCAGTATCAATACATCACCCAACCCCACTCCCCCTGTCATCCTAAGCTCATTTGCACCTGCTACAGCACAAGAGGTTTCTGCTCTGCTCCTGTCCTCCCGCCCCACCACCTGCTCCCTCGATCCTATTCCCTCACATCTCATCCGCACTTTGTCTCCCTCTCTTGCTCTTCCTCTCGCTAACATTTTCAATCTCTCCCTTTCCTCTGGCACATTTCCCTCTGCCTTCAAACATGCAACCGTAACCCCAATTCTGAAAAAGCCCAACCTCGATCCCAACTCCCCATCCAACTACCGCCCTATCTCGCTACTGCCATTTGCCTCCAAGATCCTCAAGAGAGTTGTCTACGCCAGATTGACAGACTTTCTTGAATCCAACTCTCTGCTTGACCCCCTTCAGTCTGGATTCTGCACTGGTCACTCTGTCGAAACTGCTGTGTCCAAAGTATCCAACGATTTAATTGCTGCTAAATCTCGCGGCCAATACTCTATCCTAATCCTCTTTGATCTTTCTGCCGCCTTTGACACTGTTGATCATCAACAGCTTCTTCACATTCTCCGTAACTTTGGTCTACGGGATTCTGCTCTCTCCTGGTGCTCCTCCTACCTCTCCCAGCGCTCCTTCAGTGTTTCTTTCTCTGGCTCTGCCTCTTCTCCCCAACCCCTCCCTGTCGGCGTCCCCCAAGGTTCTGTCCTCGGCCCCCTACTGTTCTCTATCTATACTGCCTCCCTTGGTAAACTCATCAGCTCTGGCTTTGGCGTCCAATACCATTTATATGCAGATGACACGCAAATCTACCTGTCCTCCCCTGATCTCTCTCCGCCCACCTTGACTCGTGTTTCTGACTGCCTCTCTGCTATTTCCAACTGGATGGCTGCTCACTTCCTTAAACTCAACCTGTCCAAAACAGAACTTCTAGTTTTTCCTCCCTCAAGTGCTGCTACTCCTGTGTCTGTCGCCATCCAAGTCAACGGCGCTACTATCACCTCTACCTCCCAGGCTCGCTGCCTAGGAGTTCTTTTTGATTCTGATCTCTCTTTTACTCCCCATGTTCAATCGATAGCCAAATCCTGTCGCTTCCAACTCAAGAACATAGCGCGCATCCGCCCATATCTAACGCCGGACGCGGCTAAGGTACTGGTTCATGCTGTTGTTCTCTCTCGCCTTGACTATTGCAATCCCCTTCTCACCGGTCTTACATGTTCCCAGCTTGCACCGCTGCAATCTATAATGAATACGGCTGCGAGGCTTATTTTCCTGTCCGGTCGCACCTCCCACGCCTCCACGCTCTGTCAGTCCCTGCATTGGCTTCCAGTTAGATATAGGGCCCAATTCAAAATTCTGGTGCTTGCTTACAAATCCCTACATAATGCTGCTCCAACATACCTATCCTCCCTCATACACAAGTATGTCCCGACGAGACCCCTGCGCTCAGCCCAAGACCTACTCCTATCCTCTGCCCGGATCCCCACCTCTGATGCTCGCCTTCAAGACTTCTCCAGGGCTGCACCTATTCTGTGGAACTCCCTTCCCTCCTCAATCAGACTTTCACCCAGCCTCCATTCCTTCAAAAAATCTTTGAAAACTCACTTCTTTATTAAAGCGTATCAATTAAACTGTCAGCAGGTTTCTCATCCCCCACCCCATGACTCCGTTCCTTCACCTGTCAAAAATGACCTACCAAGCACTCAATAAACCCTTCTGTAACAAACTATTTAATTCCCCTACTTTAACCCTTTGTGTCACTATACCCCACTCCCTCTAGCATGTAAGCTCATCGAGCAGGGCCCTCAACCCCCTCTGTTCCTGTACGTCAGTGGTCTGATCTCAATTATGTGTCTGTTAGTCCACCCATTGTACAGCGCTACGGAATTAGTTGGCGCTATATAAATAATAAAATAATAATAATAATATACTTCCTGCACAACAAGAAATAAATAAGTATGAATCTAGCTAGGATAGGGTTTAATAACCCACAGGAGAGAAAAGGTTAATTAGGAATACATTTAACCCGCAAAGAAGAATACCTGCATGGTGGTGTGCCCAGGAAACTCGGAGGCTGACAGGAAAAGTAGCAGGAGGACCGGGTAAGAGCAGAGGGAACCAGGGCAAAATTGCAGCAAAGTTCCGGTCCAAAATGGCCCCGCACATGGCAGGACAGGAGCACACCGCGGCCAGCAAACAGCAGGGGGGAGGTAGCGTGCACACTAACCACGCGCCCGACCTGCCTGCACGAGGGAGCCGCCGCCGATATGAGCGGAGGCTTGCAAGTGCATGCCCGACAAGGAACACGCTTGGCCACTCACCAGGAGGCCACCCACATCCCGAGGAGAGAGGTAGGAGAAGGGGGGGCGGCAGGGAAACCCAACTGGTCGGGAGGGAAGAATCCCAGCAGGGGCACACCACACAGGCACAAAAGAGGGTAAAAAGTTAATTAAAGCCCAAACAGAACAATAAAAACATACAAATTAATTATTGCTGAGCAAATGAGCACTTATCTGGTCTGAGAGCAGCAAAGAAAGAGGGGGATCTTGGGAGACACAAGCCTTTTATAGTTACTTCCTCTGTTATGTGATTGGTGCTTGTGTACTATACAGTTTTTTCTCAATTTGAGATATTTATATTCATCACTAACTTTGCTGCTGAGAGGATTAAAGAGAGTTATGCATAATAGGAGCCTCCGTGTCTTTAATAAAACTTAATTGAATGTAAAACAAGATTATGAATAAACTAATCAATTATATAGTGTAATATAACAGCACAGGGATAGACTGTGTCTGCTTTCCGTCACAAGATAAAGAATACCCAAGGCAGTACACCTTAACCATGTTTGTCAGTGTAATTATTGTCATACAATGTGTGTGGTATTGATGATATATTATAGAAAAGCCTCAGGTGTCTACATAAGCAGAATAGCCTTTCTCTGATTTCTACTCATAGATAATCAAACATGTATCACTGCTTATAACTAAGCACAGATAGATACTCATTTTCAGTGATCCTTTACTTAGGAGTAAGCTCCTTTGTTTGAAAATTGTGTAAAGTGTGACTTACCTTTGTCCCCAGGGTCTCTGTCTGTGCCTGTTGTGGTGGTTTCCAATGCTTTTATTTGAAACGATGGAATAAAACCAATGTTTTACTACAAATTTACTGCTGTCAGTTTTTTTTTTTTTTAACGTACTATATGTATAAAAACAGAATAAATGTAAAAAATTTTTACAAAAAATGTGAAAGGATGGTATTTATGAGAATTCCTTTTACTAAAAAATACGTCCAGAATATACTAATGTCTATATATGTGCATAATCCCCACATACAGTAAGTACAGTTACACCTACCATCTGTACAGTACAGTAGCATACTTGATTTGCTCTGGTTACTTGTTTCTAAAGTATACATTGCTTCATATTGAAATTGAGACTATAGATACCACTTGTTTTCTTGTCTGTAGTATTTATTTACGGGTTTGAATTCAAATAAATAGTGAGTAAATCATTTTGTATTCAAAATGCATTATTCTATTGGCATCTTGGCCATTGCAGTACTAGAGACTTTCTTTGCCTTCACGTTTTTTTACTAATATGGCCTAAATTTTTGCTGTTTTGTGAATAATCAGATGATATCAGGAACAACTCTAACAACCTCACCAAGATAAGCCAGGAGTTAATTTTACAAAACATCTTGTTGCAGCGATTTGTCAAAACAGCTGGGTTATAAAAAGAAGTATCCAGATTTTTTTAGATTTGTTCTAACTTTTTGAGGGTTTTTTGTTCTAACTTGTCTTTTTTGTGCTAAGTTGTTCATGAATTATTCATTTAAAGTTTTCTCACTGTTTAGTAAATCAACTTCAAAAGATCTCTTCTGTTTAAAAAAAAATAATAATCATTCTTTAATTGGTGGAGTTAATTATGTCTGTAAAAAATGGTGTCAAACTATAAACAGGATTGTTTGTTATTAAATGCTAAACTGACTCCAAGAAAAAAAAAAGTAAACACATAATATTGACTGAAAATATTATTATAAAAAAATACATTAAAAATAGAACTGATAATTATGGTTGGGATAAATAAAGGTGTGCTACTGATTGTAATTATAGATAAGATATTTGATGTTTTATAATAAATAACTTCATATAGCACAATAAGAGAGGTGAGATGTTGTTAAATACTAAGCAAAGCATTTATACCAAAATAACCAAACTGTATTTTTTCTAACAATTATTTTACCATAAAGTTTTTTAAATCAACTCACCATCGCTGATTAATGGTCAACTACTAAAGGAATAATTAACTGGTTTACCTGATAATTAAACTGTATCAAAAGTCTTGAATGAAGCCAAGTTTATTTTAAAAAAAAACAAAAAAACAATCTAACTGTGTTGGCACTGAATAGTTTTAGAATTAGCCCATGGCACTAAGCACATAATCATAGTCAACTAGAATCGAATTGTAAAATTTAGGCAAAACTAGTTGGTTTGCAAAAAAATCCCCAACACCACCACAGTATTGTCCCAGCAATGTTAGCTTCAATTTGACAAATTACGATGGTGGCAATATAAGGACTCCTACCTACACTACAATTCGTTGAGTTAATACGTCCTTCTGAAACGTATACATGCAGTTGTTGGGAAAAGGGACAACATTTGTACACAAACTTAATTATCAAGGAAAAATATCTGCTATTCTAGATATCCTGTGCAAAATAAGGAACAATGATTCTCAGCATTTAGAACTTTGCACCCAGAATTGCTTTTGTTTTGGTTTGTTAAGATCTCTCCCAAAATGGTTTATATGCACTCTAAATATGTTTAGATATCTATTCTACTGTTGGGCACATAATTGTTCTTTTTAGCTTAGATTTCTGAGCTTAGAAACACCAATTTTTGTAACTCCTTCACAAAAAAGTTCTTTATTTATATAGAAAATAGTGTAAAATACATTTCATCTATGGCAGGGGTGCCGAAAAGGTAAATCCCCAGATGTTTAAAACTACAGCTTTTGTGATGCTTTGTCATTCTAAAAGCATTCTAAATGCACACAAAGCATCATTGGAGGTCATCAGGGGATATACCTTTTGGGCAACCCTGATATATGGTATGCATAGCTAACACAATATTTAGATAGATATAAAAAGTGTGTATAGTTTTTCAGGGACACTCAGAGAGCAAGTGTCCAAGCTTTATTACAGCTACAGTCTGCTATAGTGGTTATGGTGGTAAGAGTACTCAAGTGCCATTCCTGTTAATGGGGCAAACTATTTTATAATGATTTGCCCTCTTACCTTGCTCCCAGCAGGCCTTATGTGATGTAGCCCAGGACATTATGCTTCTGAAGAGCTGCTGAAGCCAGATTCCAATCCTAACACACAGTGTTTGGCTGAGAGAGTCACCTGATCACTCTCAGCCAATGAATAAGCATCTGTGCATAAAAATATGCACAGAATTGACATTCAAAAGCAAAGGAAAAAGTTACCTACGCACTATCCCAAATCCCTACGCACATTTTAATAACTGGAGGTTTTAATAATACTAAAATGTCCATTAAAGTGTAAGCTTACCTGCCACATCAAGGCAAGACTTTTTGGGTGAGCCCTATACTAACAATTCACCTTCCTGTTTTCATCAAAAAGGTAATACTTTAATACTTTTATTTATTTGTTCACCAATTACAGAAATAATTAAGCAGATAGAAATATTTAGCGATTATCCTGTAAACCTAGTCTTGCAATATTGTAGACAGGGTCTGAACTGCTAGCTCATATACAGAAATACTATTTGTATCATATACAGTAGATGCACCAATAGTAAATTAATTCTTTTAAATAAGAATGCTGTGTTTTGCAAACCAACTGTAACCACACAGAGAGCATTGAAGGTTTGCAAAAAGAATTATCTCTCTGATTAACTATAGTGAGCAAATTATGACACAGGTGTTGCAGCAAAGGTCGAGGTAAGAAGGAATTTATTAGAGAAAGAGAGAGATGTGTGTGTGTGTGTGTGTACAAAATTATGCAGAAAACCTCAAAAAATTTAAAAACTTTTGTCTGTGAAATGTGTTAGTTATAATGTGATCACACTGACAGGCTGACATTTCTTCCTGTCAGTCAAATGGTCATGCTGATTCCCTTCCCCATGTGAGAATCTGTGGGTTATATTCCCTAACCACTGAAATGCAATGAATTGGAAAATTCAGGTTACATAACCTCCTGTGACTGTAGCTAAACTGGAGATTTTATTTCTAAATTAGCCATCATTGCCCACATGTTTTCATTAGATTTTCAATTCACTATAATTCAATGTTAATTGGACACTATATATAGTGCCTAGTGTACAACATTAACCTGGCTATTATCCTTCAGTGTATGCTATATATACTGCATAATTCTATCCATTTGTGAATGTATATATATTAAATACAATAAAGGGACACTATAGGGACACCAATACAACTATAGCTTAATGGAGTGGTTCTGGAATAGATAGTATAGATCAGGCACAGGCAACCTTCGGCACTGAAGATGTTTTGGACTACACCTCCCATGATGCTTTGCCGGCATTATGTGTGTAAGAGCATTATGGGGGATGTAGTCCACAACATCTGGAGTGCCGAAGGTTGCCTATCCCTGGTATAGATCATGCGCGTACAGTCTAACTGCTGAATTCTCTGCCATTTATGAGTAAAATCACTTTTGTTTCTGTTTATACAACCCTAGTCACACCTCCTCTGCATGTGGCCTACACAATCTTCCTACACCTATCCTGTAGAGAGAGGTCAAATGTTTAAACTTACTTTTTCATAAGGAATTTCACCTGCTCTGCAGGCTGTCTGTGATTAAAGTTCAATTAACAAGACAGGAGATAAAAACTTCTAAAGTAAACACACTGCGTTGACACATTTGATTGAAATTATTTTTTTTTTTATGTTGGCTATGGGAGTCACAGCACGGGCAGGCGTGACTAGGGCTGCATAAACAGCAACAAAAGGGATTTAACTCCTAAATGGCAATGAATTAAGCAGTGAGAATGCAGGTGGATGATCTATATACTAATGCTTTAGTAAGATAAAATTGTTTTGGTACCTAGAGTTTCCATTTAAGTGTATTTTTATTTCTACATATCATTAAACATCAATTATGATGTGTTTGTGTGTGTGTGTGTGTGTGTGTGTGTTTATTCTGCAGACATGAAAGGGCATTGAATGAGATGCATTATTCTTGCATTTTCTTGTAGTTTTATTGTAACACTTTTTTAAACAATTTGTTAATAAAATAAATAAAATAACCTTGTACTTTATACTGTTATTTTGTAGTTGTATATATTCCAATGCTGAAGATTTTGTGGGAGATGCCACAAAGCTTTTTTACCCTTCAAAAAAATGTATTAATATATTGGCTGCCAGCCAAATATTCATAGCGTTCATACTTATTGCAATAAACCAATAGGGAGTGTGTTTGGCCATTTTTATCTATCTGTACTTGACATGACGACTTTAGGTGACAAAAATGTTATTTCTGTTTTTACACTAATATTTATACCATGAAACATTGCTAAATATCAGATACCATATACCCATGGAAAAAATGATCCCCTTGCAATTGTGAAAATTGACATAATGTTTCTGAAAAGTTAAACATGTTACACCAGACATGTACAATATACAAACATAAATCAATTCGCCAGTCACTGGATTCTTGTAGGTGAATTGGAAGAAGATAGCGAACGCTAGGAATTAGCATGTAAATAAAACAATCTCTAGTACAGAGGTAATTATTGTAACATATAAATAGTAATTTTCAACAAGATACCTTTTTTGCTTTTACAATACAGAATCACAGTAGTAGCTTTAAAATAAGTTTGTTTGCAATTACCAAGTTATCTCACTCTTAGTATTTCGTTTAAAAGTTCCTATAAAGATTTGTATCTGTGCAACAGATTTATTATATTTTACGGAATTATTCTGAAAAAACTTACTCTATTGTTTTCTATGTTTAATTTTTAAAGTCAAGTAAAAAAAAAATTGTTATAATATCACACCTATTTTTGAGTGGATGATGTACTGTTTTTAAGCCTCAAGGCGCCAAAATACTGATCAAATGTTTTTAAGATTTGGAAACAAGCACGGACGGCAGACAAGGATACACCCAATTCTGTTATTAAACTTCAAAAGTTTTATTCTCAAGGTCACAATTATTATTTACAATGTCAGGTACTTGTGTCTACATAATCTGTAATATGTTCAAGTCCAGGTATGGCATTGAGAACAAGCATCTGCAATGATGATTGTAGCTACGTATAATGAGATTGTGGAACATCATGTTAATTAAATATAATAATAAAATTATGCAAAAATGTCTACAGGAATTGGTGGAAACTTATGCTAATTAGAAGCTGTTATGATTTCATAGTCTAGTTAACATAACAAGTATATTTGATGAAAAAAAAATATTTTCTTAATTTGACTGTGTCACTTTTAATATTGTTAAATAATTCAAGACTCCTGCTGAATTATTTTATATCCTCAAATTTATCACCAAATAAAGCCATATGATTATTTAAAACATGGGATGTTTACAGAATTTTAATTATTGAAATACAGAAATGTAGGATTTAAATTGGTTTCTCTGCCATTTGATAAATAGTTCTGGAGCAAGGCATAAGATAAGTGAAGGTTTTTTAATTTAACTGGATGGAAAATGATGGTCAGTCAACCCACCTCTAACTTGAGTCGATCCTCCACCTGTTCAGCATCACAATAATGATACAGTCATTCTGGCGTAAAACTTCTATGAAATTTAGGCCTGTTTTTGATTGCATCAGATGATCGGGCTATATATACACATACCGACTCCTGATTGAAATCATTTTTTAGATACATACATACATAGATAAGTAGATAGATAGATAGATTTACGATCGAACAAAGGGATAGTCTAAGCACCAAAATCACTTCATCTTAACTAAGTACTTTTGCAGCATAAATGCTGCTCCTGCAGTCTTGTACATGAAAACACTGCCATTTGTGAGAAACAGCACTGTTTACATTTTGCAATCCCCATGCCTAGACATGTCTGTTAGCCAGACAGTCTGTATAAGTGTTCAATACACATAAATTAAATTATTTAATTTCAACTCTTGCAAGGTATACGGATGCCCCACCCTTTGTGCTTCACAGAGAAGCCTTGCGTTGGCAAATCACAGTGAAAAGCATCTGATTGGACAAAAGGATTGATGACTTCGCTGGTGCAGGATCAGGTTGCTGCAAGTAGACTGTCCCAGTGTTGGATTACAATTTAGAATTATGGTCTTTTGAAAACTTTATTTTGAAAGGAGCTCAGTAATCTTAATTAGCACTAATTAACATCTAATAAAGATATATATCTATACATATTTTTTTTGTTATTATTTTCAATTAGATTGTTCCTTTAAGTTATTACATTATCTTATGATCAATAATGTTTATTCACCAAATAGTGATTTGTGGTGAAATGGACCAGCAAAATGCAGGGTCGCATTTCTGCTTGGAAAAAGCTGAACGGTTTTGGACAAGCGATTAAACTCTCTATGAGTGCAATCGATTTTAAAGGAGTTTATAAGGAAGATGGTGGCTTTAAACACTGCGGGGTGCACTCAAGAATGAGTAGTGGGGATTTAACAGCCACTTACAAAATTTAAAGCAAAACATTCAAGTTGGACAGTTTTTTTCCCTGTCTCTAATTCTTGCAACTGCAAATTGCTGTGTAGAAAATAAACTCCTAAATGTGTAAATAAGTAATAAGACCTTATACTAATTTATTTTGTGGCTTCTTATTTTTTGTCGGCTGGACTAGGAGGCTAGGAAATGCTAGGTATTCACCTTGCTGGCAATTTTTTTTATTTTTTTAATATCAATAAAAATAATCACCCTAATTGATTATCATGACCTAATGCTTTCATAGACTTTTTATTTTTTAACTTTTAATAGAATTCATTTTGTTTAGATGCATACTCAAGAAAACAAACACTAAAACCTTTGCGTGGCATGTAAAAAAAAATAGAAAGAAGGCTTTGTGTTTAGGTACTTTACAAGGTTTGTAAAGGGTTAACTAGATTTGACAGACTGATTTACAAATCATCCACTTGGTAGCTGAACACAGAGCACTCTTAGAATGAATTATTTACCAATTTTAAAAGGTCTTGGCCCACCGTAGCTAGTGGTAGATTAAAATACGGAGTAGTTGCCAAGGTGACAAACACTTATAAATATAACACATCTTCTAATGTGCTTTTAACATAGTATTTTATGACTTTTAAATCAAATACATTAGCAAATATGAGGTAATTTAGCTGAAAGGCCATTTTGTAGACCCATTTTTGTTACATTTCCCTAGGTATTTGAGTAAAATCCTGATGTGGAATTCCAGTCCTGCTAAGCTCCTGACATAAGGTGCAATAAGCATCTGGTAAAAAATAAGTATTATAATATTTCTGTTTTATGTTGTTTGTGCAAATGCATTCAACAAATAGCGATTTTGATAGATTTGACTTATGTAGATTTGTTTTATTTTGTTTGTATGTTTAGATAATGATAGGAACATACTTTGGTAATATCTAAAAAAAAAGTTTATTTGTAGTAATAGTACATCTTCACCATTCACATCTTTCCTTGTGCATCTCACAGGGGAGGTGGACTATGAAAAGATGTACATCCCTCCCCAATATATCAACCCTCAATCCAAATGCCACATCCAGACATAGTACATCTCCCTCAGCCATGTCCCTCCTCGATACATCTCACCACATCACCCTCCCGCCCCCCCCTCCCCACACACTATATCTCCTCTCTTTCTTAAGTAAATCTCTCTACATCTCCTCAGAATATGTAGAGCCCTGTGACTTCTGGCTTTTCACAAAACTAAAATCACCTTTCACAGGGAAGAGATCTCAGACTATTGATGAGAGTTAGAGAAATACGACGAGGCAGCTGATGGAGATTCCAACAAAGAATTTTGCAAAACATTGCCTCCTGCTAGTAATCCTTAGATCCAATCCACTCACTGCACCTTCCCCCCTTCCCCCCAAAGAGCCAGCCCTGCCCCGTACAGTCTGCCATACATCAGGTACTCCTTTCGACATCCTTCATCCTTCCATCACCATATCTGTAAGCCCCGTTGCAGACACATTGTATCGCAATGGAACCAGTCTGTGTGAACATCACTTCCCACCATCCCAACAAGGAAGGAGAGGAGCAGTATGCAAAGTGTGGGCCATTTTCATGCCTTGCTGGTATCAGCAATGTGGCCAGCACTGAACTTGACACTGGGGGCAAGCTGACCCAAATTTGGCACCATTGTGTCTCCCAATCCAAGTGTTTCCTCTGTCCTGTTGACCCTCCACGACCCCATGTAGGCCCAGCTGTGCTTCTTGGAGTTGTAGGGTTAAGGTAGGAAAGAGGCACAGAGAGGCATCACAGCTCAGCTAACCCCCAGACATGTAGTTCTCCAGTATATTTACTGAATATCCAAAAGAGACACGATGATGTCAAGTCCACATTAAACTTTACCTGTTAATGAGACATTGATAATAAATCATTCCTTGATGCTAACGTTGTGTGACCTATTTATCATTGTGTACAATATTCATGCCCCTAGTTACAAAATACCACAACAAAACAATGAATGAGAAGTTTGTGTGAAGACATGCAACAAGTAAAGGTAAGAGTTGACGTGACTGATGCGATGTAAAGATGTAAGGCTGCAATTTAACAAACTATAGAATTTTTGAAGAAACCATGAGCAGAGTCCCTTTAAACTGATGGAATGCTTTAACTGGATGCTGATTGAAGGGCATGTTTACGTGACTTCAATTAACTTTTTAGGTGAACAAAGTTAGAACCTCAGCAGCCACCCACTAAGAAACTCAAATAATCTGCAATGTTAATCTAGCACATTTGTCTTATCAATCTACCTTTATTTTAACTACAATGGATGGAAAGTGAGTAAGAGACTATAAAAAGAAACTTCAGGCTGGCGTTGATTTATTTTCTTATGTAGATAATACTTTAAAAATGTTAAATTAAAATAAAAAAGATACTCACTTTTCCTACATTTTCTGTCAGTCTCAGGATTTACAATTTTATTAAAGACACGGAGGCTAATTATGCATTCTTTCTTTATTTCCTTCAGCAGCAAATAAAAAAATGTGTAAAATGAATACAATAATACATAGATAGCATAACAGGCCCATTCTCCTAGCAGCAGGAACAGCCAATCAGCCTAGCTTCCATGGTATAACAGGCGGTACCAAACAAAGCACTTCCTCTTTCTTTGCTGCTCCTTCAGTTAAGTAGAACCTTAGTTAAAGGGACACTGTAGTCACTATAAGCATTTCATCTCTTTGAATTGGTTATAGTGCCTGGAGTACCCTGGCACTGTCCCTCCATTCAGTGTTGCACCATGTTCGTGCAGTAGGCCACAAAATAAGAGTCCCTGGCCACCCACAGTCCGGCCCCTACAGTATGTGTAGCTAAGGCAGAGATTACATACTTCCTTGTTGTCATACCCACTCACACCGTCAGTTGGAACTCTGACAGGCTAAAAGCAGTCAGCTGGCACTCTGAGCCAATCACAGCTGCCCATTTCTGCTCAGGCTAATACTTCCTTATTAGCCAAAGCAGCACAGAGAGGATGGATTGCCGGGAATCTTGTTTAGCATTAAAACATTAAGATTTAAAAAAACTGTTTAATGCTGATAGAAAAGATGGGACCAGAAGTGACTCCAGACACTATAACCAGTTTAATGAGATGAAGCAGATACAGTGCTTACGGTGTCCCTTTAAGTAGAACCTTTATTCCATGGTTCCCAAACTGTGGGATCTCGCTCTTATCTGTATTAATATTGAGTAATTTTCTGTCAATTAATGTATTAGTTTATTGTTATTTACTATTGTTTTCTAGTATTGGGATTTTCATGTTACTGTTTATGTGTGCATTTTGCCCTATCTGCTTTACCTCAGACCCGGCTGCTACTCCCTGTCCTTTGGAGCATCAGAGCCTGTCCCGCCCCCCTCTTTTTTTGTGCGATCATCACACTTTGGGTAATTTTTCTGCTTTCCTGAGTGTGTAAGCACTTCACCACACTCTCCCCCTTTCCTCCCCTCTGGTTTTCAGGCTTTTGTCCGTCTCGAACACACGAGCATCTGCGCGCCTTTATTCCCCCACCCTTTTGCCTCAAATTCAGTCATAATCCGCGCATAAGCAGGTTTACCCAACTTTTATTCGGCCTGAACGGAATCTTGCCGCAACTGTTTGTGCACTGGCTCGGCCGTGTGGCCAAATCAAACGCACCTTGAAATACCTCTATTGAGCCAACGGCCATTTTGGGGGTTAGCATATTTTTCTGGCTCTGCCCACAGACTGCCCTGCAATTTGAGTTTGTGTGTGAACATTGTGGTGTTCGGCCTGTGAGTACTTTTTTTTTTTTTTGAGTAATTGCTTTTATCCCTTTTTTCCTACCACTTTTCCGTCTTCCCAATTACTTCCTGTGGGTTATTCAACCTTTGGGGTATTTTGTAGGTGGGTTAGCATCTGACACTTTTTCCAGACTTTCACCACTTGGTAGCGAAATTATCAAACATCAGGAAAGAGATCGGACGCACACTCACACTGTTTATGGAAACTCTGCACTGATTTTTCTCTCTTTCCTCCCACATGTCCTGATATTGATGCGAAGACTTCTTATCACATTATTGATATGCCTGCAATCAGTTTGGGTTTATGAGTGAATTGCAATCATTTTTTAAACTTCCTATATATACAGTATTGCCCTATGTTTCTCTGTTCTATCCCTTGTATTGTAGATAACATTTTTTGGTGTGTGTACATTCTGTTTTGAGGACCAGGAGGAGTCTTTTTATCTACAGTCAGTGTATTGGGGTAATTTATTAATTTAATTATCTCACCCCCACTGAGTGTTTCTTTTCCACTTATATTAGGTGTCTCTGTTACATTTTGTGTATTGTTTGCATCAACCTGACTCTGGAGACCTGTATACATGCTATATTTCCCATCCATCTTCACTATTGGGCTCTTCAACGATTTCAAGCCTCTTACCTCAATTGCAGCACATCTTACGAGGATAAGGTGACTCTGGACTTAGATGGGCAAAAGACAAGCTCTGCTGGTGACTCCTTCAAATGGAGGCATGAAACGGACGCTCCATATTCTGCACGGCTCTGAACGTTGTCATAGATCCAGATGTGAGTTTATATAGTTGGGGTGCGTGTTGCGGAGATATTTAAAAAGGAAGCAGACGGTCAGACTTGGAATCAGCACTTTACATCGACTGTCTGGACTTCTTGACAGATCTTTCGTGGTCTGCATTTTCTCTCTGACTTACTATGTGCTATCCTTCTGCAGATAGACAATGTATCGGCTGATTGATACATCAACTACCTGGGTGGCACGCAATCCAAGTTTCTGGCGAACATGGCTCAAGATTTTTAGCAATTTTGCCTGATGCACGGATTTTCGGTTACGGCAGACTAGGGTCCAACACTATAGCATACCAGTATTCCCATCGCCTCAAAGATTCCAGCAATTGGCAGCTGGATTCCCTGGTTTTCAAGAAGATCTGGGATCTTTGGGTCCCTTGGAAGTTGATCTTTTCACTTCTCGATTGAATATGCAGCTACCCCGCTTTTTCAGCTGGTACCAGATCCAACATCAATGGCAAGGAATGCTTTTTCGCAAAATTGGCCTTTCACAAGAATTTACACTTTTCCTCAATTTGCACTCATCCCTCATTGCCTTCTTCATCTACTGATCGTGACTCCTCTGTTGATTTCTCTTTACGGTACGTCTCTATTAACCAGTTATGTTAGACATGTCCCCATCAATCATGCTCAAAGTTGTAAATTGATATATCTTTATTATGGCTGGTTGTTTTGCTGAATACATGCTAAGTATGAATAATTTAAGTACTTCATTCTAGCTTAACTTCGTTGTCTAACTGAATTTGGGTCCGACGTAACGTTTCACTTTGATTTTTTTTTTGATTTCTTGTTGCTTGGGTGATGTGAGTGTTATGTTATCTGTGTTATTCTATTAATTTTAAATGCTTTTTCTTTGCTGCTGAGGGAAATAAGGAATGAGTGCAGCATAATACTCATCTCCATGTCATTAATAAATCATGCCTCTACGTCATGTTAATAGTACAATCTGGGAATCTCCTATCAAGAGGTCCCAGACTACGTTGTAGCTGACAAATGTCAGATAATCTTAGATTGCAAAGGAATCTGAGTTTATTCCATAAACGTCTGCCCAGCATTATTTATTTGAAGAAATGGATGGAGCAGTTGGGGTGACCTAATGTTGGTTTACTGATCACAGCTCTGTTAATAAAGCTATAGACATGACCACCTAAGTGTTGATGCTGATGGCCACATGCAATTGTATATGGCAAAATAGTACAAAACAAAAAAATGTCATCCTGCAGAAAATGTCTAATCTGTGACTGTATTTCTGCAGAAGAATATGGCAAAGGGATGGCAGACCCACAACCATCTTAAACATTCTTCAGTAATGTTTGTAGGTCAATCTTTATGGCTGCATTCTGGCAGCCAAGGAGGGAAAGGAGAGAGTCTATTTTTGACACTTTCTGAAATCTTTCATGATAAGAACACCATATCATTTTAACCCATTGTTTCTGCAAAAGATGAGCAAATAAATGAAAAACTGAATAAATATATATATATATATATATATATATAGTTGCTGTTTTATCCTACACTCTTGTGCAAAGCATGTGTAATGCAAATAAATGTTTTGCCATTTGTTGTTTGCTTTTTTTTGTTTTTAACAATTTGATCACATCTTTTATATTAACAAAAATGTGTTCTGAACTATATTCCACAGGGATTGGCAACTTTATTTGACGAGCAGAAAAAAAATTAAACAAATTTCATTTTTTACAACTTAATCTGGAATTCCCACAAAATACCTAAAATTTCCTGCTGCACTATCAGAAAATCTGGAACACCTATGCCCACAAGCAAAATATAATATCCCACACCCCAACAGTCAATTGGTTATAACTTTGCTTCACTAAAAGTTTTTGTCTCGCCCAGCTTTATTGCTCAACGAAGTTTAACTCCTTCATGGCAAGAGGTTAGCAATATATATATCATGACATGCATGAGTTTATATGTATTTTAAAAATATGAAATCTGTTTGGAAGAGAAATACTCTTTAG